CGGCACAAATAATACATTCCTTGTTGGTTTTTTTTTTTACTGATTCCAGAAGTATAGTTTTGAAAATACACCATTTAATATTTATAATTTTTCATCAAATGGATACTATAAAGTTTAAACAAAGTTGTAATAACTTACTATATTTGGAGAAAGGGCTTATTCCATGTGCAATTGTAATATAATTTAATTACTTAGTTATCATTAAATCTGACTCGAAATTGTGTTATTACTAAGTTTCTGTTCATTCTCACTTTTTGCTATTTAGTTATCGTGTATTAACTTTACAATGGTAAGGCTATGCTTAAATGTCACTGATTTGCATCTTTAATAAAAAAAAGGATACTTAACACCAAGTATACCTAACTGTTAGTGTTTGCTAAAAATATCATTTGGAAGTACATGAGCGTAGTGGAGAAGTGAAATTTTGACTATTTTAGTAGCATAAATTAAAAATTATGAGGAAGTTGACAAGCAGTCCATTAACGTTAAGACCGAGTATCGGAAACGACTAGAGTTATTGATAAAAATTATAACTTTTTCCCGTTATGGAAAACCTATCCCAGAATCCGTCAAGGTGTAGCAGTGTAGAGCAGCACATGCTTGTAAACTCTAAAGTCACGAGTCTGACATTCTGGTTATTTTATAAGTCTTCCGTCTAACGGACTGTCCGTTTCACCTAGGTTAAAGCATAGATTGCGAGGCTCTTCGGGTGAAATTTAAATCGCCAGGGAAGACAACGTGTGGAAATTATGTTCGATTCTACAGCATGGTGTCGTATGTGTATGTTTTGATCTTTTGTTGAAATGAGACAAGACAACATTCTTAAAGTTTATCTAAACCTATTCCTCAAACTCACTCGTAACTAACCCTGGCTCCAAGCTGAATCCTGAGAGAGAAACGTAGTTATTCTGTTTCGATCTTGATAATACAAAACCGGGGATAAGCAAATCTATGTATTACATCCTATATTTGTATACAAGTAAATACGATCTCTGGTCAGTTTTAACGCCTTTAACGATTATTTTCTCCCTGAAGGGGCACTATTTTTCGGGCATTACTTGGCATTGGTCTGAACCTCACGAAATTTCAGTGGGTTCCGTTGATGCGTTTTTTAAAAAATGTTTAGACTTATTTATTGAGGACTTTGGTGCCGATCAGCCTTTTATTTTCCTGACACGGAATCTGACAAATTTTAGGTGCTTGCTGCATTGTTAAGTGTTTCTTTCAGACTTTTTTCTCTGGGGGGGGGGGGCACTTGAAATTTTCGGGGTTGCGGACAAGAATTTATTAAAATGTCATTTTAGCTGCATTTTTGCAGTTTGAGGGAAGGGGATGCAAATCGAAAAGTTGAGGGGGGGGGGGGGGGTGTGCTAATCGAAAGTTTGAGTGGGGGGTGCAAATTGAAAATGTGTTCCCGAGGGGGGCGCTAAATTGAAAGTTTGCCCCCGGGCGCCGGGAAGCGTCGCTACGCCTCTGGAAGATGCCTGGAGGAAACTCTGGTCAAGTGCCCTGCAAGTGCCCTAAAAATGGTTGACCACTAAGCTTTATTTGTATAGATTAATAATTGTATTAATCTTATAACTTCACTCTTATTTTATCTTCTTTTTCATTTGAAAATTATTTTTCCATTCATACATTGATAATATTATTGTTTTGTTGCAAAATGATACATTATTTTCATTTTACTTGTGAATTATAATACTAATAGTTTCGCTGTATGTCTATCTATCTGTCTATCTATCTAACTATCTGACAAGAACGCTCTAGAGAAAACATAATAGTAATAGTTTCGCTGTCTGTCTATTTATCTGTCTCTCTATCTATCTGACAAGAACGCTATAGAGAAAACACAAGCAAAATAAAAACATGCAAAGTAAAACGGAAACGAAATATGACGTCATATTTAGCATATAGTAGAAAAGAGTCGGAAGCCGGGAGAGTGCACAAAATAATATTACGTCATTGATTCTCGAGTAAACATTGAATTGAAAAGCCAATTTTGTCTAATCTTAAAAGTGGTTTGCGTGAAGAGTTTCTTTCATACAATTATTCGGGTAGGGGCGAACCCCATCCCCCGCTTAAGAACGTCTAAGCCGACACCCCTCCCCAACTCAAAAGAAATGTCATCGATACTCTATAATAAAATTACAGGTAATTCATGTGTCTAATCTAAAAAGTGGTTTACGTGCAGAGTTTCTTTCATGCAATTCTTCGGGTAGTGGCTAAGCGCGACACCAGTGTTTCTTTTAGACTTTTTCCTCCCCGGAGGGAGGAACTTTTTCTAATCAAAAAAGCGTTTAGCGTGCACAGTGTTTTTCATACATCTCTTCCGGTAGGGCCGAGCCCCGCCCAGGTTCTTCCTTTAGTTTGTATGATCTGCAAATACGACCAGTGTTTCTTTTAGACTTTTTCCTCCCCGGAGAGGGGTGGGGGTACTTGAAATTTTCGGGGGCGGGGGTAGAATTTTCTGGGAGGGGGCGGACATTGGAAAAAGTATATAATTATATTTCGTTGAATGGGACGGTAGACATGTTTTGGGGTGTGTGTGGGGGTGGGGGGGGGGGGGTGGGGCGGTGCCCCCTCCTCCCAAGTAGAGTTGCCTGAAAGAAACTCTAAATGCGACTTTTGTCATGAATGAGATTAGGTGCATGGTTTAGGGATAAGCCTATGACTATATTTTGTATAAATTAAAGTACCGATTCTGGATAAAAATCCGTTTTCAATGTCATTTTTCGTTTCCGGTTAAATTGTTTTTGATTTCACTTTATAATACACTATAATAGTCCTTTATATTATGTCATTATAATGTTTTGGTGTTGGTTTTAGTTTACAGATAATAGACAGCACTATCAACCTAGCGCCCTTTGTATCCTTCCACAACGGGCCATTTTTCTCGTAGCATTAAAATAACATTACTAACATACTTGACCAAAAACATGTTTCGTATTTTTTTTTAATAAAAAGGAACTAAACTAGTGAAACTTATGTTATTGTTCATCTAATTATTTTATTTTTATAAATGTATTTTACTTCTTTTTGCATAATTTACAAATGTTACCGTTCATTCATAACGCAATAGAGTTTACTGACATAAACACGACCGCTTGTTTTCTCACAAGCAGTTATGTCCTGGGCTTAAAATTGTCCACTGTTTTGTAACTTTAAAGTTCCATCAATAAAATCACTTTTACAACGACCGAATAAAATACATACATAGAAATGTTCCTAGTAGCGTAGGCAGAGGGGTGGGAGGGGGAGGGTTAGAGGGGTTATAACCCCTATGGACCCCTCTGTAAAAACAAATTACTGTCATAATACCACTGTTATTTATTTAAATCTATTTCGGAATAAGTATATATGTACAATTGTATATGTATGTTTAGAACAGTCATCTAAAAACTGATGCTGTGTTCACTTTGAGTTGCCCCCCCCCCTTACCTCACCCCCTAAAACGAGACAGGCCTTAATTGGGTAGATTGGTGACCACACCTTCCCTTCATTTAATGGATTGTGTGATCAACACAATGCCCAGCTGCCTTTAACTTCCCTGGCAGCAATTAATAGGTCATCAGGATTTTAAAAATTTTCTTAAACAATAGGAAAAGAAAAACAAACAAAAAATGATAGGGAAGCAGACCTTTACTGTTATTATTTGTTTTTCAAACTAAATCCTACAGAGTGTATTTTTGAAAAAGACGTTTGTGTATATTATAATAAAATTGGATTAATATTTTTATATTTAACTAGTAGGCCCCTACAGTTAGTATTTCCGAAAAGCCTTTTTGTTTAAAAACAGCAATTTTCAATGGACGCGAGCGAGAAGGTATTCGAGAGGCAGAGGCGTATCCAGGTTTTCGTTGTAGGGGGAGCGAAAAGAGCAAAAAAAGGCGCCGATTTTTTAATGCGTTCTATATACGTGTATTATATATATATATATATATATATATATATATATATATATATATATATATATATATATATATATATATATATATATACGTGTATTATATATATATATATATATATATATATATATATATATATATATATATATATATATAATATATAAAGCTCAGTTCTGTATGTAACGCATATGTTTGTCGTTGGTCTTGGATGGATTTAAGTGTTAGACAATCATCGTGCGCATTTGTCTAAATTTATGAGTTAAAAAATTACTATTGAAATTGTTGGGAAATAATTTCATTTTTCAAATTATAGTAATAATTGTCGGCATGTTCATTAAACACAAGTTTTAAAAAAATATCATCTTTTACAAAAATTCTAATTATGTCTTTATTTAGTCCTATAGCACTTACTTCCCTTTGATAAATTAGGAAAACACAATTACTTCCCTTTATAAAACCATTGCATTTGTGGAAAAGAAATTTCTTTTTAATTACTTTGTTTTGGTGTTGGGAAAAAAAATAATTACATAATTAGCGGGGATTGATCAAGTGCAAATGTTGTAGGTATTTTACGGATAAGCTTGGAGTATTAAAATTGTTCATTAAATTGAAACAGGCGCGTTCGTTTTAAGTGAGTGCAAAAGACTATGAATAAGTTGGGGTACTATAGTCGTTCATTAAGCTAAAACAGGTGATTCCGCCACGGGCGTTTATGTTCGCGTTAGTGTTTTCTTTGTGTTTAGGTGGGTTTGCGTTAGTGGTTGCGTTTTGATTTGGTTCGTTTTTGTTCTTTCTTTTTTCGTTTTTGTTTGTGTTTTTTTTGTTTGGGTTTGTATTTGTGTTTTTTGGTTGGTTTTGCGCTTGGATTTGGTTTGTTTTCGTTTGCTTTTTCGTTTTTTTTTGTGTGTGTTGGTATTGGTGTTTGTGGTTGGGTTTGTTGTTAGGTTTTTGTTTTCGTTTGCTTTTTTGTTTGTTTTTTCTTTGTGTTTGTATTGGTGTTTGTGGTTGTGGTTGGGTTTGTTGTTAGGTTTTTGTTTTCGTTTGCTTTTTTGTTTGTTTTTTCTTTGTGTTTGTATTGGTGTTTGTGGTTGTGGT